TATTATATATATTATATATTATATAATAAAAATTCTCAGAAATTATTATTATAATTATTATTATATTAATACACTCTACTATTTTTTTTTTTTAAATAATTTATGATTAGATAAGGTTCCAGCTGCCCTGAACAAAAACGCGTTAGCTTTTGTTAGATCCGCGCGTGTGCCAGCGAGAAATCAGTCCAGTAGTGCCCTACGTGCCCCTTTTCTTCTTAATAATTGCCAGCTATTAAGCGTAATTAAGCGTTTGCTGCTTGCCAGGAGCGCGTCGTATCGGATATCGCGGACGTGTAAGAAAAACGCGAACCCGTGACATCACGCGCCGCGGCACATACCCGTGTGGCGTGTGTTTTAACCATATATGTAACGCGACCACGTTGCGTACAGATCGCGAACTGCTAAAACTTGCAGTTTTCCTTTGAGAAAACGAGTGCTCCTCGGCCGATGTAACATGTCCACGCGGGTCATCGATAGAGAGGTGGGGCGTTTAGAGTTGTGTGTGCCACTTCGTTAGGGACAAAGTGGGATCGTGTAACGAGTTTCGTTTAACACAGCTGAAAACCGTTACTGGCGCGCCGCGTTATTTCGAATCTTTCGAATCGCAACGATAAAACGACGACGCTATACTGCCCGCTCGTAAATCGACATGTGTTGTACACGCGTAGTTGTCGATACGCCGGAGCGCGTCCGACGCTGTACTTACGATTTCCGGCAGGCAGACTTGAGACTAGGTCACGGAATTGCATTGCGTTTGCATCACGTTCTCTTGGACAAGTACAAATGAAAAGGGGAAAAAAGCGGGAGAGATGGAATTGAATCCGGAAGCGGGAGGGGTGGTGGTCCCTTTTTTTCGAGAAGGAAGTTTCGTTTTGCGGCGGCTGCGGAGAATAATCGTCGGCCGCGACCAACAGTAGCCGCCGCCACGGGGTTGTTGGCGGCGGTTATGGCTGCGGCGGCGCGACGCCAGGGGGCGAAACGAGTGACTCATCGTTGAGCCAGGCCAGGCCTTACGAACTGCAGGTCAGGAGAGGAAGACGCTTTTAGCCCACATTTCTTCCTTGTCCCCCTTCGCTGTTCCCTACGGCTGGTGTTCCTTTTTATTTTTACCCCAACCGTTTATTCGTGGTTCCTCGCTTCCTCCTTATCTCTTCGTTTTTCCGCACACGCGTCGCTCGTCGCAGGACGAGATTCATTTCGCGTTAGTCGACACACCCGATTGTCTTGCAACGGGATTCACGAACGATGAATAAACGATATACGAATCGATTGCACGCGATACGAAGGTATTTGGAAGAGAATTCAATAACTTCCGGCTGTTTCGGAGTATTTCTTTGGCACCCGTTCTTTTCTTCCCTTCGAGTCGGCGTTCCTTAAGACCGGAAGACTTTCAACATCCAAGATTCATAATGCAGCTTCGATAGGGCTTCGACAACCACGCGAGACGCGCCAGATTACGAGATGGTAGATTCTTCCGCGGGCTTTTAAAAAATGTGGCCATTCTCGGATGTGCCAAGAGTGTTCCATCGTTAACACCGGGCACAGGTTCAAATACAACACGCGGAACTGCCACGGGGAACGGTGATTCTCGAGAAATCGCTGTGTACACAATTCCTGGATACACGATTCGTCGCGACTGAATCACTGCGTTGTACTGACGAGAAAGAAAAGGAACACCTCCGATGTACGTATCTCTTTTTCGCGGAGTTCTCGAATTCTATTTCTGGAGTCGTAAAACATCGGAAACGCAATGAAAGCATCGATATATGTATCCCGGAATTCT